ATACCTCATATATACCCTTTACCTTTTGTTTACAAAAACAATTTCAAAACTTTTCTTTTATTGCCTCAAAAACTCATGCAGCACTAAACATCTGTAGTAGCATACTTCATACTCTTGTCAATCTTTACTCTAATATCAATAATGATAATAAAACAAATACTACATTACTAAACAATTTAAACCAAAAAATACAAACAATCCAATCACTTACTAACATATATATTACACCTCTTACTCTGCTAAACATTGATAATAGTCAACTTTCCAATACTATTAATACAATAAAAGAGCATCACAAAACACTATACCATACTTGAAAAAGTGAAAACAAACATGCACTATCTTAATATATTACCTAACAAGTGGAAAAACACTACAACAGCTTTACAACAAATATTATAGTAATGATCAACAGTATACTTAATAGACATACTGACACTGTACTATTTGACAATATAAAACTTCCTAATTTCATAATTACTAAATTATAAGAGATTTGTCAACACATCAAAGAGCATTTCACAAACTAGACCAAACACAATCTATATAACCCAACTTTTTAGGAACAATAAAAAATTGAATATAACTCCAAAACAAACATACTCCTAGCATAATACAACACATTAACAGATCCAATAACTCAACAAAAAATAATCAACACAATAAATGCTTCATCTAATAATAAAGCATCTGAACCTACACTAATTTCTAACCAAATGCTTAAACATACTTATTCTCATATCACTAAACTCTTAACAATCTTATTCAACTCATACTTAAACACTACAGACATTCTTACTGCTTGAAAACAAAGCAAAATATACTCTATATCAAAAAAACCAACCTTTACAGATCAACTCAACTATACCAGACCTATAACACTCATTTAACATACTTAAAAAATCTTAACAAAAATTATTACTAACTGACTTAGCAAAATAATGTTTAAATATCCTATTTTAGATCCACACAACTTCATTGCTCTGCCTTATTCCTTTACAATACAACCTATACAAATTCTTACAAATATATTACAAGTAATACAAACACAAAACAAAGAAATATGGCTTTTGGCCTAGGACATGAGCAAGGCATATGACTCTGTACACATTCCACTCCTTTAATATGCTTTAATTTGATTAAAAATCCTCATCAACATACAACAACTCATATTTAATATACACAATAACTGATACAACTCAGTTATCACAAACTTTGACTCTACATCTAGCTATCATATACAAAATAACATAGACCAAGAAGAAACAATTACACCATTTATTTGACATATATACTATGACCTTTTAATAACCTATATTTACTCCAAATTTCAAGAATATAATATGTCAATGATATTCTCATCTAATACACAACACCTAACATATTATACATCAGTACTAGCCTATATGGATGATACACTATAGCTGACTTCTGACAAATACACTTTTCAAAAAATTGTTAATGCTGCTAAGTCCTTCTACAACATGACTAATATTATAGTCAATTTTACCAAATTAATTCTTACAACAAATAAGACCAAGGACTCAAACTCAACAATCAACTTTGCAAATACAATCATATATACTATCACATTAAAAGATACTTTTTACTATTTGGGCTGCTAGTTTATATTACTTAGCCACCACAAACATATCTACAATCAAATTAGTGCTAAGGCCACTAACCTTATTAGTACTATAAAAAACAAAAAGATTACAGAAAAGTAAGCAATTTATATTATTAATACTGTACTCATATCTCATTTTTTATTTAGAACATTAAATATATTTGTTTACTAATCTAATACCCAAAGTATTATCAACTCATATATGCAAGTTGCAAAACACAAAGCTGAACTGGCTTCAACAAGACCTAACTCTACTATATTTCATCTCCAAATATACAACTTATGCAATCTAACTGACATTCAAACACAGAACTATATCTCTTCTCTTCATATACAACTAAACAATGTACTAACAGTTCTATCAATCAAAATTTTATTATAACACCTTCAACAAGCAATACTTTCATCTAATAACATTTTACATTCTTCAAATTACATACTACTTACAAAGTTCCATAACACAGTTATAGCCCAAACTATCAGAATTGCACATCAATTCAAAATTCAGATTCAGAACCTTCCAAATCTCTGGCCAATACCAACTATATACAAAGACACCCCAATTGATATATTAATCAAACACTGTACTAAACCAATACAAATTAAGTTACTAACCAACAAAGCAAACATCTTTGCTATCAAACAACTTACTAATCTCACAAATATACTGCTTCTTTCATGGCAGTGTATCATATATAAAACACAAAAAATATCAAGAGAAAGAATCTTCAAGTGGTTTCAGAAACTTCAATGTACTTTTTATGCAATCACTACATCATATATTCCTACTATCACTTCCAACCCATTTACTACAAACTCTATAGCACTAAAAAGAAGTGCCTGGGTGCTTAGCAAAATTAAAAGCATACCAATTATAAGGAAAATATAAAAAACACCTAATACAAACAATATAATATATATAAAACATTATTGAATGCCATTACCTAAACTATAGCACAAAGCACTACTTGCTAAATGCCTTCAATACAAACATGACTGCATTGCTAATACCAGCCAGCAATGTATAATTATACTTACTGTATTTTAGTGTATTGTGATTAAAGTATCTAGCTTCAAAGTTTTTCGAACAGACATCAATAACCTCATACATCATCACTATAAGCTTAACATATGGACTCTTCTACAGTCAAAAAAGCAAACATTACCTTAACACCTATCTACTATCTTAGCTACTTATCAAAACTCATAGCTACCTACCACTTTAATGACTCAAAACAATTTATCATACCAAATATTCCTACTAAGCACTGCCATCACATGACTATTTCACCTTACAACAATCAACTTACAGGCCAAAAAACTCCAACTATATTTCTATTCAACTATAACTCAAACAAATACATCACAGTCACAGGCTCAATTTGCTTGGACACTTACACCAACCAATATAACATTCTCATCTCAAATTACACATTGACCTTCCATAACATATGTATACTTATTAGAATTATAATAATACTAATAATAGCTTTACAAAATTGCCAAATAACAGTTTATATAACTCACAAACCAACAATCAACTATATTAACTTCCTCTTTACATTAACATTAAATTCTATTCTTACCCTTCAGAAACACAACTATTGGCCACTCAAACTACTACTGCAAACTATAATTGCTTGCAAAGGCACCAAAATTAAATGCAATTATATTAAGGATTCTGACAATTATCCTTTATATAATAGAACAATTCACTTGTTCACCAATATACAACAATACAAACTGCACATCCAACCTCATGCACTTGACAATAACAATTTTTACTTTATCTGAAACAATACACTAATTGAAAACCAAACTCATCATTTCATTAGACATTTGTAAAATGTAACAAATACAGCAAAATGACATGTCCTCAACAGAACTAAACACTAGAATGATATTCATGAAAATACTAAATGGGACTCAATATACAAATTTCTTAACTATAACAACAAACCTAACACTTGCACTATTTATTCTAAACACTCATGATTAAAAAGTTTCAAAATTAAATTTTTACTAGATGAGCTACCAACTCTATTAAACCTACACTACAGAAAACCTAAAACATTTACCAATCCTACCTGCAATCACTGCTCTATACACATTTAAAACAACTTCTACTGGCTCGAATGTACAGCAAATCCTATATCTTTAAATCAAGTAATCCAACAAACTACCTCCAAATTCCTTACTAAAAACAAAATTGAACTACACAATATATCTAAATTATTACAACAACTTTTCCAAACATCAAACAATACACACAATCTGCTTAGATTGCAAGGATTAATTCCAAACAACCCACTTGCAACTAGCAATATTAATTCAAATATGCTTGTTACTCTATTTTTAAAATATCAAATAATATTCACAAACAAATATGGACAGAAAGATGCAAAACTGTGCACCAAAACAACCTTCTAACAAACATACTCACAATCACAACTTCAGAGCACCCAACTACAGACCAAGTGGCTATAACAAAATATGAAAAATAGGCAACTATTTTTTCTACTACTAACATATCTACATCTTACATTGCAACACTAAACCTAAAAGAGGTCTGACAGCCTACTCTAGTAGAGTTTTGGGCTGAGAATAAATTAGTCCTAGCTATAGGGCCATGTACTAATTTATGTAACTCATTTTTATTAATGTAATACCAAATTGTTTAATAAAGACCGAGGCCAGGCCTCACCCTTAAAAAAAAAAATTCTATTTAATTTATTTAAATTAATTTAGATTTATTTAAATCTAATCTGAATTTAAATAAATTCAGAATTCTGTCTAAAAAAAAAACACTACTTCCTAATTCAAGTTTATTTGAACCAATCTGAGTTTAAATAAACTTAATACAGGTTTATTTAAATCCAATCTGAGTTTATATAAACTTAATTTAGTTTTACTCGAACCTTATTCAAATTTAAGTAAACCTAATTTAAATTTAAGTAAACTTGATCTAGATTCAAATAAACCTAATTCACATTTAGATAAATTCAAGTTAGATTTATTTAAACCTAATTTGAATTTAAATAAACCTAATCTAAATTCAAATAAATTCAAGTTAGTTTAAGTTCGATCTCGGTTAAAGTAAATCTAATTCAGGTTTATTTAAACGTATTTTGAATCTAGAGTAATATCCAAACTAAGACCTAGTTTGATATATATTTTTTATACAACAATTTCAAAATTCACATATATACTTAACAAGTTTCCTAGTGTTACCCAAGATCACTTAAAACATTAGCACTTAAATGATACTAATAATATTGATATAAAAATGTTTTTGTGATAAAGCAATATGCGAATTTGCATGTTTATTTAATTTTACTATTGTATATCTATATATGTATGTAGATATTCTTTCTTACTAATGTTACTTTAGTTAAATTTATAATAAAAAAATTAATTTAATTTCGAAAAGACGTCAAAACCATTGCCAATAAAAGTATTTAAATTACGGCCATTTCATGTTTTGCTCGAAATGTTTGTAGCTTTAACCTTGTTATTTTAACATTTTGCTTACCAGACAAAGCTTTTTTTCAATCGCGTTTACCACTTTGTTTGTTGAGGATTTGCTAAGCTTCATAAAAAAATGAAACCTTATTAAAAAAGTGTTGTCCATATATTTCCTAGTGGTAAAACTAACTTTTTGAAGGAGCTAACAGATTGTTAAGTAATGTTAACGACATCAATATCGTTTTTCTTTAGAATCATGTAAACTTTTATATTTTCGCTTTTTACACGTGCCAAACATTCGGAAGTCTTTTTCCCTTAAAAATTACACCCCACTTTCTGTGCCAGGTTATATCGATAATGATATAAATAATTAGAAAAAAGTTATTTTATCTCAAAATTTTGCTTATGAAACAGCTTTTCAAGCTATAATAAAAAAATAACTCTCATGATTTTGTTAACATGTTTTATTTTAAACCTAATCTCAAAATTAGCTTAATGCGGGCCGATTTCGATCAGTCTAGGCCAACCTGGCGCAGAAAGTAGGGGTGCTAAAAAAATCACGGATACTTTGTATTTTCTGCACTACAAATCCATTGTAAGATAAGAAGAAAACAAATATAGTTTTATTGCATAATTAAAAAAATCTTTAATTCAAAAAAAAATATTACAAATCAATCATATATTATGAACCATCCGAACTATTAAATTGAGTTAAACTATAATTGATTTTTGGGCTATGCATATTCGTAAACCTGAAATGATAAATATGTTACCATTTTCAATGAAACATAAAACTAAAGTTTGTAAAGAAGGAGTTAAAATTTATTTGTTGTAGAGCAAAAAAAGACATTGTGGTTAAAAAATGAATAAATATTTAAGCATCACAAGGTTTTATGTCTGAAGGAATTTGTCCGCAATCTATTGAGGATAATTGCCAGTTAAATTCAGAGCCATCAAGTTCCCAACATGTGTCTTGACTATTGTCAATATTATCTTCATCCTTAGAAATTTTATAGATATGGAAGTGTAGACAATATTTGGAAAGTGACACTGAAGTGCTGAACACTAAGCATTCAGGTTGATCGCTGGTAAATTGTAGATTTGATTGACTCCATACAACTTCTTGAGAGTCACAATCAATTACCCATACAAATCCATCCAAAGCGTTCGAAAAGAAAGTCGATTTGAGTTTAATCGTTGATGCATTTACTGTATATGATGTAAATTAAAGCATATTAGATATTACACCATGAATTGTAAGGTTGTTGAACCTTTTTTTTTAAAGAATTTAATTACCTTCATACACATTAGCGACTAGGCAGAAAATTATGAAAATGTTAAGAGTGAAGAAGATATTGTATTTCATTATTAAAAATGCAAGACTGCTTTTTTGATATTAATTTTTTAAAGATAAAAATATTTCTACCTTCGTTATCACTTATTTATTGTATATTCACGGTAAATTTATATAAATTGATTTCGATAAAATAAAGTACAATTTTGGTATAAAACTCTTTCATTTGTTAAATTTATTTTACGTGGTTTGAATCTTATGATCACCTCTTAAAATTAACCTAAAGATTTCCTCCTTATCAATTGACGCACAAGGTGTAGAGAATAAAAGATAAGCGCTAAAAATATTTTTATTTCATAATAATATAATATTTTAAATTTTGAATTTTTTATATAAAGGATACAATAAAAAAATCGTAATTTATAGATACCTCGAGTGAAAATCTGATGTAGTCATTTCATATTATTTTAAATCATATGTCATAATTATTTTGATAAGCGTTCGCATGATAGGCATATTTGGTATTTTTTAGTGAATGTAATGATAATTGTGCTTATAAAAAGCGATAGCGATAAAGCAATTATTGTGATTATTTGTATAGTAATAATTATTATTCAGCAAAATGGGTATTGTCTTGGTTTAATTAAAAAGCTGTACGACATGTCGTCCAAAGTCAGGAACGGAAGATATTATCTAAACATCAACAAGTTGAATTCTAAAAAAAATGGGGGTTTTCACACTTCGGCATTTCTGATCGGGATAAATCGGACAATGTGTAAGTTATCTTTTGCTTAATCTTATTGCTACATGACAGGAGAAACAGTCAATGTTACACATTAATCCTTCACACGATGTAGTTAATCAATAATAGAATTATTTATTATGAGTTTAAAATGTAAGTTATGGATGTAATCCCTCGCCATGTCGTTTGCACGAGGTGATCAGTTAAACTGAAATTATTTATATGTAACTTCAAGTGTGATGGATACAATCCCTCACATGGTGTAGCATTAACGGTTCCTCCTATACTTGTTACCCGAAACCTGAAACCTTTCCGAAACTTTAAAATTGGAATGTTAATAATTAATGCACATTTATTATAAAGTAACCAAAATTTTCCTGAAATGCAATCTAATTATACTATACTTTAAGTCTTAACGTTTAAAATTAAATTTCTAAGCCTTTCAGTAGTGTTAGAGTTTCAGAAAGGGTTTCGGGTTTCGGTTTCGGTTTCGGTTTCGGGATTTTATATATAGTTTCGGGTTTCGGATAACAACATTAGTTCCTCCTGTTTTGCTACATTGACACTGAGGTTTGCTTTTGTCTGAATTATCCCGATCAGAAATGTCAGGTCGATTTTCGTGGCAAAAAACCCCAAATTATTAATTGCCTTCCATAAGTCATACCAGCAAGCATAAAATTTCAGGACCATGGTTTTTTCCTTACGATAGCAATTTATTTTAAACCCAAAATTAAAGATATATAAAGAATTACTCAGCAAATAAAATAATATCAGGACATCATTTCGGGGTGATAAACAGTAAATGACAGATTTTCGGGATGTATCATTCAATAATGAGATTTGATTGATTGTTGAATATAATAGTTTATGATAGTGAAATCCATAATTATAAATTGTAATATTGTTGAAATTTTGTAGAAATTTAAACTTGTTTGTTTCATAGCGGATGATAAATGCTGTAAAGGTTAAATTTATCGATCATTTAGCCAAATTTAAATTATTTTACACGATGATCTAGTCAGATGAACGGAATTATAACTGATTGGTTCTTTTATTTATTAAACTGTGCAAATCCACCGATACTAATTTTCAGCATTATCCAATTTCAGTATCATCACCGAAATTTATTAGCACATTAATACAGTTAAATAACGTTTGTATAACAGGAGAGGAGGAACCGTCGATGTTACACGACTGATTCTTCACCCGGTGTGCAACATATAAAAAATCATTTTACAATACCAGATCATTCCGCTAGTACATGTTATGATTATAATCCCACACCATTTTTATTAATATAAAATGGTGTGGGATTATAATCATAACATGTACTAGCGGAATGATCTGGTATTATAAAATGATTTTTTATATGTTGCACGGTTCCTCCTGTCCGTTTGCATATTAGTGATCTATCGTTCCACAAAATTGAAAGTGTTTTACATTATCTAATAAGCACTTTCCTTGTGAGCGCTGAGCAGAAAAATGCAAAACACTAGCAAAATCCATAAACTTATTTTGTAATATGTTAGAAAAGATGACTTGCCTAACCTAAATATATACAATTTGTGATCTAAACCCGTTAAACCTTAATAAGGTAACTGAACCGAACCGAAAAATTTCGGGTCAACCTGTTTATTGCTAAATCGGCCAACCTGAAATAATCGGATGATCCGAAATAATCGGTGGTTAGAGACGGTGTCCGATCTAAAGTGAATCCCTCTCGCCTATGATCAATCACAAATTAAATTTTTTATATTGAATTCAATTGTGATGGATATAATCCCTCACAGTTTAAATATGTGTAACATTAATGGTCTCTGCTGTTCGGTTAACCTGCATTAGCTAGTCTGGCATAATTGGTTGACCCGTTATAATCGGTTAACCTAATCATAAAAAAAATGAAATTTACATCGTTGTTATAATAATCTGCAAAACAATTATAGCTGTTTTTTATAAATTTGAACATCAGACCTAGTGTTGTTAGGCAAAACTTAGAGATTTTGTCACAGGCAAAAGTTAAAACTAGTTTTGACTTTTGTTAAAAAAATTAGAATGGCAAAATGGCAAAATGGTAAAACTGGCAAAACTAGTAAAACTGACAAAATTAGCAAAACTAATAAAACTAGCAAAACTAACAAAATAAGATAAAATTGACAAAATTAATAAAAGGTAATGAAATTAGAAAAATATAATAAAATTAATAAAAGATAAAAAAAATTGTAATAAAAACAAGAATAAAAAATAATTAAAAAAAGAAAAATACTACAATTAACTCATAGTGATCAGCATTACCTTTATTTTTAGGTTAGGGTACAGTTTAAAACAGAAGCAAAAATTAGATATAATAGTCTAAATTTTAGATTACACAAGGTTTTCAGGGGTTCTGAACATTTTTACTTAGTCTATTTGACCCTTGTTTCTTAGTATATTTTTTGAGATATAATCTCTAGGTGATAATCATCATAGGTTATAGTTAGTAATATTCTTAAAAAAATTAAAATTTCTTTATATAATTATTAATTTTTATATTTTTTATATATAGTTTAATTTTTTTTATTTTTACCTTCTTCTGCTATTCTGAAGGTCTTTAGTTACCTTTAGAACTTGTTACATCTCTTAAAGGTTAAAGTTATTATTCTTTAAAGATCATTAGATAGCATGTGATTCCTGGTAGTTTAATATTCAAAAAATAGATATTAATAAAATTTTTATTATAAAAATTAAGTTAATAAAAATTAAGCAAATTTTTTTAATATAATTTTTTTAAAACTTTAAACAAAAAATAATTTAATCAAATTTTAATTAAATTCTATAATTTTATAGTATTTATTTAAGAAAAATATTAATTTTATTATATTTATTATTATTTTTGTTTAAAATTTTAAAAAGTTTTATTAAAAATTTAATTAATTTTTATTAATTTAACTTTATATAATATCACAATATACTATAAAACTATTTGAAATTTCTTATTTATAAAGTGTTTAAGTTGTTTATACAATATTGAATATATATTTTTTTTTAACTTAAGCAGTCATGCTAGTACTTATTAGAATTCTTGAAACTATACAAATTACAGAGGATTTTTCTAATAACTAAGTTCAGCATTACCTGGTCACCCTATTGGTACCTAAGTGTGACCTGCTGCACTACCTCAAGCAGAGGTAGGCTGCTCATCTAACTGCTACCCTACAATAGGATACCACCAATCTGATAACATCTTCTCGTGGGAAAGCAAAAAAACAAAAAAAAGATTTTATATGTAAAAAAAAAAACAGAGGTATAGGGGTAAATGATAAAAGATACAAAACAAGAAGTAAAAGAGAAAAGAGAAAAATGAGAAAAAAGGAAAGTGTGAAACTTGCAATTTACAAAAAAATCAGACAGTCACGATTTTAAGCCTATGTTGGGTGTGAAACTTGCAATTCACAAATATCAGACAACTACAATTATAAGCCTGTGTTGGGCTTGTAAAAATTATAAACTATACTAAATAGAAATTACTCTACTATCT